TCTTCTGATAACACATCCATTTTGAAAAAGAGTGATCATTGCTGCCGCTCCTCCTCGACTGAACATCTCTCAAATCTGACACAAATAAAATCTAACATTCCGAACACATTTGGCCCGTCTGCATGAGTTTCTGCAGCTGTTGAGATGTAATCACAGAAGAAGATTACACCATTGCTAATAATAAAAAATGCTTCTTGAGCACCAATCTGAGCACATCTGAATGAATTCTGAAGCATCATGCAGATCTAAAGACTGGAGTAATGATGCTCAAAACTCAGCTTTGCCAGTACTGAAATATATACTGTACATCTGAATATTAACTCTCCTGTTAGATTATATTTATTTTACATTTCACCTCCCAAGATCTGTTTAAGGGAGAGAAGATTTTCTTTCAACACATTTCTAAACGTAAAAGTTTTATTAATGCTCATTTCTAATCACTGATTTCTTTTATCTTCGCCATGATGACAGTAGATAATATTTTTCTAGACACTAGTATTCAGCTTAAATTAACATTTAAAGGCTTAACTAGGTTAATTAGGCAACTTATGGTAATTAGGCAAGTCATTGTATAAGGACTTCGAAAAATGTTGCTTAAGGGGGCTAATGATATTGATCTTAAAAGTTCCTTAACTGCTTTTATTCCAGGCAAAAGTAATCAAATAAGACAAGAGAAAAAAAATATTACTAAAAATTATTTGCTCTGTTAAACATCATTTGGGAAATATTTGACAAATAAAATAAAAAACCACAGGAAGGCGAATAACTTTAACTTGATATTTAAGTGTATAATAATGCCTTTGTGAGATATCTCACAATATATATATAAATATATATATATATATATATATATATATATATATATTTATACAACAGTTCTATCTGATTGGCTGATAGCCGTGCAATATTCTGCAATATCAGTACTCCTGCAGCCTCTTTACCCTTTGTGTATTACTCCGCCCACATACACCCAGCAAAAAGCAGACACTACAGATCTAAAGTTTAAAAGATGCTTTTAGCTGTTTTTACAGCTGTTTAACTGTCAGCTTATGATTTGAATCCAAGGCAGAAGAAAGTAGTTCCTCATACAAAAGAGTTTTTGAAACTCCATGTTTGATTTAGTTTTTATATACACAATTATGCCAAACTGTTGTATAAACGCAATATCACACTCGTAGCAGTGCGATATGGCTGTATGATTGTATATATATATATATATATATATATATATATATATTGTAGTCGATTTTTCACTTTTACCAACGACTACATGCACTGCTGAAAGACTTTTTTTTCTGCTGTGCATCAAATAAAGACACGTTTAACATTATCGATATCCACAATCCACAAAAACATTGCTGTATCCTTGGAACATGAACTTGCAGACTCCTGAACAACAAGGAAATAATTGCACTTTATAATTTAAAGCTGACATGGCTTGTTTTGTAATTTATTGCTGGCTATGCCATCTGAAGAATGGCGTGTTGTGAATGTTGTGAACATCTAGTGTGATCTGACTGTGGGTCTGTTCAGTCTATGACTTAGAATGAAGAGAGAGATTTGACTGAGAGAAAGAGACACAAAAGCAGACAGGAAAGGAATGGACAGATACTGTGTGATTCAGAGATGTGTCTGGATAAATGTGGGCTTCTCTGTCAGTCTGGATTTACTCTTGATTCCAATTTCTACCTAAAGCCATGCTCACACTAGTGTTTAACTCTTGACAGAATGTTAAATCTGATTGCATTATTCACTGATTTTCTTCCCTTAAACCCCAAACATCCAATAGGCAATTTGCATGTTATTTTATTTTATTTTATTATTTCATTTTATTTTATTTTATTAAAATTTATTTGTATTTTATCATTTTAATTTTAATTAAATTTATATATATATATATATATATATATATATATATGTTTTAATTGTACTTATTATTTTATTTTTTATTTAAAATAAATACATTTTTATTTTAATTTATTATTATGATATTATTTAAAAATATTATTATTTTATTTTATTTAAATTTTTTATGATTATTATAATTTTGTTGTTTTTAAATTGTTATTGTTTTCTTATTATTTACATTTTCTTATTTTATTACAAAGTATAGCATTTTGATCAAGTAAAGGCAACATTTTTCAATTTGTTTTGCAAAAACATACATTTATGGTAGCAGTTTTTTTATTTTTTTTATTTTATGAAAGTTGAAAATGTTGGATGATCTACATGCCAGTGTACCATTATAGTATTCATAAATAAACAATACCTTTAATGTTTGTATATGTACACCCCAACGTAAAATGGCAAAATATGCTAAAATAACCTTAATTTTATTGGTTGTTGTGATTGTTGACACTTTTACAGGTCAAACGGTTCATATTGACATGTTGAATTTTATTCGTTTATGCATTTGGTTCCAATCGCCTTGCATAGTACAGCTTTAAAAGTCACAATTACTTATAGATAGGCAAGTGAATTCATTTAGTGTCTGACAGACAAATATATCATGTAACTATTAACTGTATAATGAAGAAAGATCCTGTATTC